ATGCCTAGAAAGAGAAAAAAAGAGGTAGAGAAGGTGTTCCAGCTGTTAATAAGCCTACTTAAACCTCTTCCCCTAGAATTTAGTGTAATATCCCTACCTCCTTATAGTAAATCTCCCCTGATTTATCTAGTTCAGAAAGTATCAGGTTTTTGCAGATGCCTGACAAAGAAATTCATTTTGTGCCTTGGCCCACTCATGACTCACTCTCCAGGCATACCAGTCCTCTGTATATGCCATGATTTTTCACATTTTCATGCTTTTGCCCATTAGAGCCATTCTAAGAATGTGATTGGCTAAGAATGGCTCTATCCTCTCTTTTCTAACAGCCCAATTCGTCTTCCTTCTGGAAAACCAGCTTTCCTGTTGCACCCTCTTTAGTTCTCATTTGACATAGTTGCTCAAATGTCATTGTATTGAAAAAGATTTTTGACATTTCTGTCTCTGAGATCTCCTCCTGGACAGGGTGAAGATTTGTTCTCTTTTGCATTTCTGTTGCCTGGAACCTAATATAGTACCTGGTCCTTAGCAGATGCTCACTGTCTATTGTCTGAGAGTTAGTTGATGATTTACCAAATTACATCTGCAGTTACGCCTGGGGAATGTTGTGTTAGGACTATTTTCAGACTACCTCAGTTACAAGTTGGTTACCACTCCCCAGTCCTTATTCTTTTCTGTTCAAAGACGATTCTTCATTGAAAGCTCTTTTAGCTGATTGTGGGAATTATGCAAGACAGTGGTGGTAGAAGGGAGTGTGGACAATAAAAAAAAAAAAAGGCATATTGAAGTAGTCTTGGAATTAAGCCATTCAAGAAATTGTCTGAGCTCAGCTCTGCCTAGAGTACTTTTAGAACAAGCTAATTATGAAGTTATAGACCACAGAACACTATGACACCCACATTCATTCTTGAAAAATATGACTCAGTTGTAAGTCCTGCACATACACAGGAGTAGGAATCTCGGAGGGTGGGTAGAAATATCTATCTCCTGCAGATGCCATTCACAAAACTCCCCAGACAGTCTCCTAAGCAGACTACATTGTTCTTGTCTGGTCTGATCCCCCTGGGAAACAGTCCAGGGTGTTAAATATTTTCACTGAACATACCAGTCTAACTCTTTAGGCATGGTGTTTTGCTGGGGTCTCTCCCAGTGGGATGTTGTTTATCATTTATTTCTCATCCCAAGTGAGAATTGCTATAGAAATAAATCCTGCTTTCATTCAGTACACAGATTTGTTAAAATTATAACTGAAATATAACAGATATTATCGTGATTTTGCAAAAAAAAAAAAAAAAGGCCTTACTCTGACAAGATGGGAATCTTAATGAATGAGTGACACATTGGTTAAGGCTTTTTTCTCGTTGTTGTCAGGAGCTGGCTAGGAGGAATGGGATATTAGATCATGTGGGGACTAGGAAGACTCCAGTGGAAAAGGCAAAAGATAAAAATTCTACATGAGACAGAAGCCAGCTCTGGAATTTCTGTCTTCATTGCTTGCTTCATCATTGCACACATGAAGTGATTCCCTACTGAGTGTCAAGACAGGCAGGTGAGACTGGCTTACATAACTGGTGAGTGAAAGTGCCCCTATCATGCTAGCAGATCTAAGAGCTATGAAGTCCAGATGAGGAAGTGGGAGAAGAATATCAGATATCCTCCCCCCATAGGCAAATGTAGTGGAGGAATCAGTCCCATTCTGTTTAGTTCTGTGGTCTAATTGTGAGTATTAAAATTATTACCACGATTGTGAGCCAGCTGAATCACTGGGTCATCTTTCATCAGTTCTGGTCATTTAGCTCTCCATTATACTATTCTGTCTCTGACTGAATGAGTCCTTGTCAAATAATGGTTAAACCTTCCACTGTTTCCCCAAATACTGAGCACCAGCTGGGTATAGATCATTTGCCAACACCAGCAGTCATGTGAAACTCACTAATTGGGCACATATCTCCTGAGAATACAAACATGCCTATGCCAAAGGGGTGGCCGTGCCTCCTAACACCTTTAGAACATGCAATAATTTCACTGCTTAAAAAAAAAAAGAACTAGAAAAAAAAGCATTGGATTGTACACTTAAAAAAAATAAGTAAGAGAAAAAATAGAAAAGACTTGGCTGAAGACAAGATTGCTTTTCGGAAGGGAAACTCTTTTCCCAGGGTGCACTATGCAGACAAAACTTACTGCATCCCTTCTGAAAATGTGTCTGGAGCAGTCTTCCAAGATGATTAATAGAGCAAGTATTTTTCATAAGGGCCTGACCTTTGAGAGCACAAGCAGACAAAAGGCACAAATGGCCAGAGTTGGGTGGAGAGCTGCAGGCTCACAGAACACACACCCACCACTCATCAGGACCTATGACACACTGTGCTGTCCCTAGGGGGAAAGCCCCTAGGGCCATGATGCCTTTGAAAGTTTTTTTTGTGTAATTTTAAGGGCCTTTACCTGAGGAAGATTTTCTTTCAAATGATGGGACAGCCAATATATTTTAAGTGCAGGGACTGTGAAGATAAATTTAGCCAGAAGATTCTTGCACCAAGTTTTCAGCTCTGAGCAATGGGGCACAAGTTTAGAAACAAATTCCCAAATGCAATGTGTATGTTTCATTGGAGATGGAAGGAAAAAGAGGGTAGATATTTTGGGGAAAGAAAGATCAATATTTTTGAGGAGCTATTTTCAAATCTTTATAACAATACTATAAGCAATGTTTGTGTTCCCACTTTACAGATAGGCAAACTAGACCCTGAAGAACTTGGTAAGGTCATACCAGTAGAAAGATGTGGAGATTCAAGCCCAGTTAGGTCTCACTCCAAACCTCACTCTCATTCCACAAACCACAAACCAACCTATGTCAGGCTGGAGGAGGAAGGATTAGATAGATAGGTCTGGCAAAAATTCACCTGCTTAAAAAGAAACACATGAGGGACACCTGGGTGGCTCAGTCAGTTAAGATTCTGACTCTTGATTTTGGCTCAGGTCATGATTTCAGTGTCGTCGTCATGGGGTAGAGCCCTACATAGGGCTCCGTGCTCAGGGGGGCGTCGGCTTGAGAGTCTCTCCTTTTCCCTCTGCCCCTCCCCCCATGCTGTCTCTCTCTCGCTCGCTCGCTCTCTCCCTCTCTCTCTCTTTCCCCTCTCTCAAATAAATAAATAAATATTTTTAAAAAGTTTTTTAAAAAAGCACATGTGTGATGAGGGTCTCTGCTGGTTGGTAAGTTGGTAAGTTTAAGCAATGCTAAATTTTTCTGTACTAAATTGTATTAATGACTTCTTTATTTCTGGTTTCTCTCACCTTTTAGTTTTTCAATAATTTTCATTTATTTATACTTGGCTTATTTGTTGGCTTAAAAATTTTTATTGAATAACTGATCTCCCCAGGTACTGTGCCACACAGTTAGTATGTGGTAGTTGTCTTAGATAGGCTTCCCCTACAACTGAGACTGAGACTAAGGCTTGCATGTGGATGGTTTATTTAGAGAGCAGAAGTGAGGGACCAGCAAGAATGAAACAGGGAAGAGGAAAGCCAATATAAGGCTACATTACAGAGCTGGCCATCAGTGCAGGCGGCTGGTGCGCACTCTTGCTGGCACCTTCTGAGGAGTGTATAGAGGAATCAGAGGGAGAAGCATTTATCCTTGACTCCTAGCCTGCTTTGGTTGGGAGTCACCCCACGAAGCATGAACACTTGCACACTTCTGGGCTGCACATACACGAATGTCAAGGGGGCTCCTGCAGGGCCTCATCCAGGGGAGTAAGGGAAGCCCTCAGACAGGAAGCAGAGGCGTTTGGTGCAGGCTTGAGGTGTGCACTGTCAATGAGAGCAGTCTGAAATCTTGTGGAACTCTGCCAGAGCCGTGAGCTGAGACTGAGAAGTGGTGAGGTGATGAGCAAGGTATCTGATGTAGTGTGCTAAATGGATATGATCCTTGCACTCAAGAAAAAGCCGACAGTTTAGTAAGAGAGATGCATAATAAAATAATTAATATGTAGCTACATAACTACAAATTTTGATAAGCACTATAAAGGAAAAGGATAGTGCCAGAACAGAGACTAGCAGGCCAGCCTACCTTAAACAGGGATGGTGAGGAAGGCTTCTCTGGGGGAGTGACATTTAGGCTGACACCTGCAGAATGGGCAAGAGATAGCAGGAGAGAGGCATGGGGAAGGGCATCAGAGAAACAGCCTTTACACAAAATGGAAGCAGAGTAGATCCTAGTGAGCTACAGAAATGGAAAGAAGACCAACATATCTCAGCAGAGGGAAGAAGTGGAAAGAAGAAAGAGATATACCTGGAGAGGTGGGCATTTGGCTTCTGGATTTTACTTTGGGTAAGATGAAAGGCCAGTAGAGGTATTTTATATTTTTGAAAATTCTCTATGGTTTTTATGAAAAATTAATTTGTGCTCTGCAACAGGGGAAGCAGGGAAGGATTTCTGAGGTAGTCGCAGTAGTCTGGGGAAGGAGAAAAGTGGGCAGACTAAAGAGCTGTTTTTCCTTCCAGAGAATGTGGTGGTGGGTTGATGAGGATGAAGAAGAAAGGGGAATCAAGAATGACTCCCAGATTTCCAACCTGAGCATTGATTCACTCACCCCAAGAAATATTTACTAAACATTTACTACCTACAGGGCATTCCTCTAGATCGCAGGAATCCAAAGATTGATAAGACTTCACCCCAGCCCTTGGAATGACTCACAGTCCAGTGAGGAAGACAGAGGAGACAGACAATTCCAGCAGAGGGTAGTAAGTGCTATGATGGCTGCACATTCCAGACCTCATTAAAAGCTAACACGATCGAGGTTACTTCCTCCTGTCCATTTGACCATGAATGTATTCTACTTGGGTGGCCCCAAAAGACGATTAGTTGCCCAGAATATTTCATTCACTCCTAAAAATGGAAGTGCTAAGTGGATTGGAGTTATCTGGGGGGTAGTGTAGCAGGGTCAGTCTCTGTAAGGAAGCGTTCCCAGCATGAGACACTGGTAATTCCTCTTCTGTTTTTTTTGAAGCCCCTGAAGCCATGACATGCTACCAGCAGTGCTGTCCTCCAGCTGGCATTCTCACCACTGTTGGCCAATCTTCTCAGGCTGCATTATGAGGACGAACTTTATAAGGTCAAAGGACTGCCCTCAAACACTGCCGAGCCCAAGTCCCTGTGTCCATGACCATCTCCTTGAAGGTACTTTACCCTGCTGTAGAATTTGCATTTTAACTTGCAATCAGATATCATCTAGCATCTCCAAAACTATCCCATGTATGCCTTTTGTCAGCCACTCTTGGTCAAAACACAGCAGAAATAACTGTCCCCAGAGGAGTAAGAAAATAATTACTCAGCACCATTAAGACCGAGGGAAGCACTGTATCATGCACACTTTGAATAACTGGAAGCCTGAGATGTGCACTCTCTTGTTCTGTCTGAAAGCCATGGGGAAAGTTTATATTAACTTTTCTTTCTAAGAAAAATAGCACTGTAGTGAATCAGCACTAAACGAAAAGCACCTGTAATTCTAGGTGTTGACTTCCCCTCAAAGTCATTGTAGCATTACCTTCCATTCAACATCCTAGAATCAAGATTCACTTGATATCTACCAGATTGGCTGATAATCTTAATGACAGTCCCAAGATTAGAAAATGCAAAAACAGATTTTTTTTTTCCATGAAAAGACTCTGAAACTAATTTTTTTTCTGAGTTCAGGGAAAACAGTTTTGCTGGTTTTAGTGCACTGTTCACAAAGGTATTGAGTAAATTCATCTGATGATAGCACATGAAAGGCAAGACTTGAATCACAGTGCTGAACTGGTGCTAATGCTTAGTAAGGATGCTTAGTAATTTTAAAAACAGGAAAGAAAAGCAGTAGAGAGAGGATATAGTCTCTTCTCTCAGTACTCCTGCCCAGGGCCCTATCCTGTGGAGCTGACCCCTTGCAAGTGAGCCTGATGTAGTCTAGACTTGGCCAGTCAGAACACTCCATCCTCCAGACTGCAGTTTGGTTCAAAGATGTGTATGTGACCTGTTGTGAGGTCAATTAGAGATCTCCATGGGCCTTTTGGGACCACAAAAAAGGTATTTTCTCTTTCTGATCTCCATCTGTGAGCAGGTATAAACTTGAAGGTATTAGTAGTATCTTGCTTCCACATAAAGAGATCTTGCTTGCTTTCTTGCTTGCTTAGGTAGAAGCCAAGCAGAGGTAAGTAGAGTTGAAAAGAAGAAGAGGGAGGAGGGAGGAAAGAAAGGAGAGGGGCGGAGGGAGAAGAGGAAGTGAGAGAGAGAGAGTGTGAGAGAGAGGGAAAGAAGGGAGGGAGAGAGAAAGGGGGGAGGAAGGGAGAGAGGGAGGGGAGAAAAGGCAGAGAAGGGAAGAAGAGATTGAGAGAGAAAAGCTGGCGTGGGAGGGTGAGAGGGAGGGAGAAAGAGAGGGCAAGAGAGGGATTGAGACCTCAAGGCTACAGATGAAACCCAGGAGAGACCTGAGTACCTAAAGAGAGCTCTTTGTTATGGGAGTCAATGAATTCACACTTATTTATATTTGTTATCTCTTGCAAGGAAGGTTCCTGGTGACCACATCCTGCTGTTTGATCACTGCATTTCAGCAAGAATCCAGGGAACCCCAGATGCCTTAGGAAGGAGTTCCTGTGTTATGAAATTTTTGCAGCCATGAAAATTTATATATATTTTTAAAGATTTTATTTATTTATTTGACAGAGAGAGACACAGCGAGAGAAGGAACACAAGCAGGGGGAGTAGAAGAGGGAGAAGCAGGCTTCCTGCAGAGCAGGGAGCCGGATGCGGGGGCTCCATCCCAGGACCCTGGGATCATGACCTGAGCTGAAGGCAGGTGCTCAATGACTGAGCCACCCAGGTGCCCTGAAAATTTATATTTTTGACACACATTTAATGACAGGGAAAAATGCTCATGATAAGTGGAAAAAAATTAAAAACTGTTTATAGCACAAAACTTAGTTTTTTGTGAACTATATTTATATAATTGTATAAAAAATAGACTGGAAAGAAATATACTGGAATTTTAGAAGTTGTTATCTCTGTAGATAGGATTAAAATAATTTTAATTTTCTTCTTTATACATTTCTTTGTTTCCCAGATTTTCTACAATACCTAAAAACTGCTCCTATAATCTATAATAAAAAGCATATTAATAGAAGTTAGAAAACTCATACTTTTGGGTTAATTCAAGATGGCTTTCACTTAGCCCACAAAGCTTCCCCAAATGTATCAAAGGTTATGTTTCAAAACACCTGAAAAATTTGGTACTTGACTTCCAAATGGAATCCTTTGGGTGCTTGTGTATTTTACTGTAATGGCCCCTGACTGTGTTTCTGGCCTTGTTTCACTTTTAGTTCAAAGTAGGAATGAAAAATGTACCTTCCACATGGAGCTAAGGGTCCAGTTATTACTACAGATGTTAAGATAAGGGACAAGTTCTAAACTCTTTATCAACAGGGCAGTTGTGTCATCTGGACAACACTTCTCAATTTCATCTGACAAAAATGCGGGATGTCAAATTCTTAAATAAACAATACCAAGTTCCTGTGGGGGTAAAAGCAAGTCAAATAGGAGATACTTGCTCTTGGCATAAAAGTATATATTTAAGAATAAACTGAACACATTTCACAACTCGCTGTGGACTAAGAGGGGTAGAGAAGAAAGGGTCAAAGGCTGCTCTAATTACTCTCATTTTAGCAAGCAGAATGAAATGAAGTTTCCTGGGGGTAATTAATCACAGCGTGATGAAAAGCAAACACACACTGGACACTTCTTTTGGTCAGAGATTTGGTGGAAATTGCCACTGCTTCGTGGAAGACACTGTTGTCCGTCTGGCAGAAGGTTCTCACTTAGGAAAGAATGTATAGTAACACAAGGTCCAGCGTTCAAAATAAAGGCGTAAGGAAAACAGCAGCAATCATCTGGCATTGCTCTCACTGAGTTTTGGCTTCAATTCTTGCTGGTAACAGGAGGCTTGCGAGTTTCTACGGTGTGTTGGGTGGAAACGGTCTATGCCTGGTGATTTTCACAAACAGATGAATATACTCCTATTTCCAAGCATGCGATTCAGCCACTTGGACTCCAGCAATAACTGCCACCCGTTTCAAAGGAACTGGTGTAATGCAGTCCTTACTATCTGAGCTCATATCTATTACGAAAATCAAGCTGCATGTTTTTCCAGGTGCTACCATCTTGGAAACAAGGCACAAGGGGACCAAAAAATGTGTTTCAGGACCTAATGTGAAAGCCTCCAATTAGGCTTCTTTTTTTTTTTTTTAAATCTAGTTATTGCAAGTTGTTTTGGCTAAAACTGGAACACATTTAAATGTCTTCCAACCTTGTGTATTTGCCGCTCTTACTGCTTATGTGTTATTTTGGAAATGTTCAAAAATCCCATCAAATTAAATGTAGATTTGACATTGTAGTCTACTTTGGTCTTTTTTATTAATTTGAGTGTGAAATTAGGCAATGCCTGTTGATTGTCAGTAAAATGATTACAGTAGAATGACTAAATAGCAAATAGTCCAACTGTCAGAGGATTTCTGAAACCAGACCAGGAAAAACAGCAACATGGAATTAAATGCTATTCGGGGACTTTGATTCTCTGTCTATCTGTCTCTTTATGGTGTTCCATATTTCAGGCCAATCCTTTACCCCCTCCCCACCCCCCCAAACAACATGAAAAGCAAAGAACAACTCTCCTGCTGAACACTGTGTTACTCTGAATTATATTTTTTAAACTTTTTGCCCAGTTAGTCATATGTCTGAAAATGCATAGAATATCCTCTTAAGCAAGAGTGTGACTCAAAATCTCACTACATACTTGCAAAAGAACTTTGGCATGCCCCGTCTCTGAGGAGGCTGGTGGGGTTAAGATTGGACCAAATGGTGGCAGAATGCCTTCATGAACATGGAGGTAGCTCCCAGATCAAGGCTGGGTGGATCTGAAGGGTGGGGCAGCCCATGGGGCACCACAGAAAGTGGGAGAGGCAGGAATGTTGGGGAAAAATTGAACAGAAACTGAAGAGGTCAACCCAAGGTTGGTGCCAAGTTTCTCCTCTTTTTCTACAGGAAATTTGAAATCTGCCCTTATCTCATTTATCCCACCTCCCAATCTTTACTGGAGTTTGTATTTGGTCTCTGCATACAATCATATTACATTCCATCTCCCAGACTTTAAGGCAGTGTCTTGACCATGAAACTGGCCACTTTCATCATGCTACAGACCTTCCAGCTCATAAAGCAACCCCTTTATAATCCTACAATAATGCCCAATTCCTTTCCCAAATGCTACCTGAAGCTTCTCTGGAAAGCTTTCTCTTGTATATTTAAACCTAGATACCTTACCTATTCTCTTCACAATTATTGATCCCCCCCAAAAACAGGCCATCTGTAGACTTACTGTGAAATAAGGGATTGGATCAGAAAAGAATGACTAAAAATTACAATACAATGCAAAAGTACTTGAGTTGATGGCCCTGGAATCAAGCATCAGTGTGATACCTATCACTATAAAATGACTGGAGTTGAACTAATAGACACTGCTGAGTGGTTGTTCAAAATGGTATTATTTTTTTAAGAGTACCTTTAAAAAATTACTTCTATTGTTTAATGGATCACAAGAAACACACGATCATTGTAAAAAAATTAGAACACATATATTAAGATAAAAGAAGCCAGTAAGAATCATCTGTAATCCCATCACTGGACTGTTGACATTTTTGTTGTATATCCTTTAGAATTTCATATTGATGTATTTCAGTTATATACACAAACACATGTGATAAGTTATCCTGAGTAAGCCAAAGCTAAGATTCAGATATATTTGGTATATGCTATGAGGTGTCACCCTACCCACCTCCTGCTCTTCCCAAGCATCTTTTTGCTTCTACATGATTGACATGGAGATGGGGAGCTTTATGAGAATGGAATTTAAGACATGTCCAACTTGGGGTCCAGACATATAGTTACATCTGGCAAATTATGTGTGTGTGTTTGGGATTCTGTTCCCCCAACAGAAACCAAATATCAAAGAAGATCTAGAGATCCCTGAGAAAGAATTCATCTTAAGTGTCAAGCTAGTTGGACCAAACTCAGAAACAGGAATCGAAGGAGAAAGTCACAATTCTGGATTCAGGGTAGCTATAATTTTAATCCCCATCCATCCCACTCCTCAGTGCCTCAGGTTAGTGCCTGCTAGAGAAGAAGACAATGAGAAAACAAAAGTAAAAGCTTAAAATCCAGGATTCCAAATAACTTTGTAGTAGGAATCCTTTAACTGAGCATAAAAGAGAATTAAGGAGCTAGTAAAACTCAGGCATTAGGTTGGTTGTCCATAATGGAACATCCATAGATGTTGACACACGAACACACACAGTCTAAATCATATATATACTATATATATATTATGATTAATATAGAATCATATATATATAATATATATAGCATAGAATCATATATATATATATAGCCTGTAATATCATAACTTTAAACGATTTCAATATTTGGATTTTACTGTAATTTACTTATAAACAGTGGCTCAAGAACATCTTTGTAGCTAAATCTTTGGGCAAATTATTTAAATTATTGATTATCTAAATTATTTCATTAGGATGAATTCCTAGAAGTGAGATTGTGGGTCACATGGCATATACATGTTTAAGACCTATGATATGAACTATATATATATATATGATATACCCTCTAGAGAGACTGAACCAGCTTACTCCTACCAGCACTGAATGGATGTGACAGATAAAATGTTATTCTTTTAATCCATGCTGACATCCTGGATAGAGTAATCCCTTCCCTTTCTTAGAACCACCACCCACTGTAGAAAACATAGAGGTGTTAAACTAGATGGACCCAGTTTATAGCACCAAGTCTCATCTTTGACCAATAGGGCAGAAACAGCCCCATGTGTAAATCATCAACCTTGGCCACTCTTGCTCCTCTTCACTCTGCAAGCCTCTATCTAGCTCAGTCACACTTAGTACAATTTTTTGAGTACTGCATTTCCCTCCTATTTAATAGCCCGTTGCTGGGATAATTTTCTTCCCTAATATACAATTTTACTTTTCCTCAGATCTGCTCTTATTTGGCATTTCCAACCTCTCTGATTATGTCCATGTAACAGTCTTTGAATTCACTCACATCTGAACCATTTTAAATTAATGCACCAAATAAAGATCCATGAAGCACTACCATTACCAACAGCACCCCAATACTGCACTTCATTTCTTCCCTGCTCTCAGGTTCTTTCTGTGAGCTCATTTCTGATTTCATCAGTATCCTTTATTCTTGCTGTCTCTGTTCTACTCAATTTTAGAAACACATTTTTCAGTAACACAATTGCCTTAAAAGGGGACTGAAAAATACACTACGAAACAAATTTTTTCCTCTATCACTTGGCAAAGGTTGTATAGAATCATGGAGGTTACATTGGAATTTTTAAAAATTAGCACTTTTATACATTGATGGGTATAAATCAATAGAGTGTTTCCAGAAGGTAATTTGGAAATATGTATCAAAAGTCTTGAAAAACATTTTGTGTGTGCAATTCTATCACTATGAATTTATCTGTTGCAAATAACTGAACAAGTATATGAAAATTAACATAAAAGTGTGTTTTTCACAACATCTATAAATAAAAATGGAAATAGAATGTTTGATAATAGGGAATTGTTTAAATCAGATTCCATATGCATATGGAAATATATACAGCTATTAAAAATGAAGACAAATCTATATTTATAGTACTGACAGAACACTGATGATATAATTTTAAGTAAAAATGGCAGGCTGCAGAGTAATTGATGTAGTGTGATCCCATTTTAGTAATAAAGACATTTGCATTTATGTAACTAGAGTAGAAAAGCTGGATCCCAATTCCACTGTATGCATGATTAGCTTGGGAGAAGAAGGAACCAAACAGTGGTGCTGGGGACACTTCTGCCCAGGGAAGAAGAAAAAAGCAGGAGAGAAGGCCTAGGCCAGCCTATGTATAGGTTTGATCTCTATAGAGATGGGGCCATTCTCTCTAGTTTCGATCCAAAATAAAACCTGGCGCTGAAAGTCCGAACGTGATGGGAGTGGAGTTGCTATGTTCACACCTAAGGAGGGACAGGTCTGGGAGCACCAGGAGACAGCATCCCAGGCAGGGCAGTTTGGCTGCAAGGAACACTGACAATAGGCAATGGAGGTTGTAGGAATATAAAGGCCTCTTAAGAAACTGGCATAATGGCATTTCTTTCTTTTTCTATTAAGTAAAGCAAGTCACATGGCGGGGAAAAAAAAGGGAAGAAGTGGGGAGACACATCCAATTTCTTTAGTGCGAGGGGTGTCAGGTAAGTCAAATGTCAAAGGGCACAGATTTAGGAAATGTTAAAGAATTTAGATTACTACAATCTACCACAACTGTATTTTCTTATATTTTGGACAATAATCCGTAACATTTGTGCAGTTATGCCTATAAAAATACATGGTGTAGTAGACTGTTATACTAATGGTCCCCAAAGAACCATGTCTCCTAATGCTCATGACTGTATTAATTTTCTAGGACTGTTGTGATAAAGTACTACCACCAACTAGGTGGCTTAAGACAAAAATTTATTCTCTCACAGTTCTGAAAGCCAAAAGTCTGAAATCAAGGTGTTGGCAGAGCCATGCTCCTCCAAAGGCTCTAGGGAGAATTCTTCCTTGCCTCTACCAGCTTCTGGTAGCTCGAGGCGTTCCTTAGCTTATGACAGCACAACTCCACTCTCAAGCTCAGTCTTCACATGGCTGTCTTCCCTCCATGTCTGTGTGACTCGTCCTCTTCTTAGATGGACATTGGTCATATTGGTTTAGGAGCCCACCCTACTCCAATACAACCTCATTTTAACTTGATTATATCTGTGAAGACTCTATTTCCAAATAAGGCCACATTCTATAGTACTGGGTGTTAGGATTTCGACTTATCCTAGATATGGGATGCAATTCGGCTCATAAAGATGTCCTTGTGTAGTCCCCTCCCTCATTGATTCTGGACCACATAAACTTGCTTTGGCCACATAATAGGAATAAACTTGACACAGAAGAGGTGTGAAGAACCCTTGAACGCTGAGGCTGGCCTTCTTGGAGCACTAGCCTGACTCTGGGAGGAAGCCTGGTTCAGCCCCCTTGAGGAGGAAAGGGTCACAGGGCAAGGGAAGCCCAGCTGAGCCCAGCCAACGCTCAAGTTGAATTCAGTCACATAAGTGAAGCCCAGCTGAGCCCAGCCAACCCTCAAGCTGAATTCAGTCACATAAGTGAAGCCAGATGAAGTCACAGGACTGCCCAAGCAAGTCACAAAATAGTGAGAAATCATAAATTAGTGTTTTATAGGATCCGAGTTTTGGGGTGGCAGTAATAGAAAACTGAC